CCTAGAAAGTGAAGGCTAACGGTTTTGAAATAAACTCCAGCTACTTAAAAGAGTGACGTACAAAAAAAAAAATAGACAAAAAGGGAATTTATTTTGTTTTATAGACCTTAGAAAAATGCAACCTAATGGAAACACAGGCAGCAAGATACTGGAATCTAGATATTCTACCACTTTTCCACTCCTTCACCAATTCCTCATTTTGAAGGAAAATGACCACTTCAAAATGAGGCTGGGTAGAGGGACAGATTAAAATGACTGGCAAGATAGCATTTACATTTATTATCTCTTTTCCTTTTAAACATCAGTATTTACGTCAGAATACATTTGGTAGAGAAAGTGAAGAATGAGATAACTAGCCTAGTTTCTTAAATGGCTAAGAGACATGTGTACCTGTACCTTCAGGGAATGGCCATCAAGAGGGAATAACGAACAAAGCACCAATTAATGGACATGTATTCTAAGGGGGAAATAAAGAGGTGCAACTGAAGATTTATATACAAAAATATTCATTGCAAGAATAGTTTTAACAGCAAAAAACTGGAAACAACCCATACACCCAATAAGAGGAGAATGATTTTATTTTATTAATTAACTAATTTATTTATTTATTTATTTTTGGCTGCTTTGGGTCTTCGTTGCTGTGTGCAGGCTTTCTCTAGTTGCCGCGAGCGGGGGCTACTCTTCGTTGCAGCATGCGAGCTTCTCATTGCAGTGGTTTCTCTTTTTGCGGAGCACAGGCTCTAGGTGCGCAGGCTTCAGTAGTTGTGGTACGTGGGCTCTAGAGCACAGGCTCGGTAGTTGTGGTACATGGGCTTAGTTGCTCCACGACATGTGGGACCTTCCCGTGGGACCTTCCCAGACCAGGGCTCAAACCCGTGTCCCCTGCATTGGTAGGCAGATTCTAACCACTGTGCCATCAGGGAAGTCCCGAGGAGAATGATTTTAAAAAATGATGATTTAAAAAGATTAGAAATATATATAGTAAGATGTTTACGGTTAGTTGGATTATTCATGTTTTCTAATTTGTCTATTAGTTTAAAAATAAGCAAAATAGGCTGCTTTGTTTAATAATAATGATAACAGCTCCCACTCATTAAACGGTCTATGTACTAGACACTGTATTATTAGATATTTTACATACAGTTTGTTAATCTCCACTACTACAAGGCAGCTATCATTATCATCATTTTATATAAAGTACACAGTCTTTAGGCTTCTAGTTTCACTAGTTACCTGCCTCCCAGTATGAACTATGAATTAATTCTTTTATAAAACAAGCAGGTCTCTATTAGATAACATAGGCTCTTGTCTCTTGGTTTGATGTCTGGGTTTAGGAAGCTATTCAGAACTGCATGGAGTCACATTCAAAGATATGGAATGAAAAGACCTTAAATAAGGGTCACTTTCTGCAGAAAGGAGACTTGTTTATTGGTGGTAGATTCTTAGACAAAACTGGATTTTCTTTTCTTCCCATGCAACTTTCACATACAATAACAAAAGTAAGTACCACATATCTTTCACTTTTCTATAGCACTTTTCATAAAATTCATATGCTGATTCATTTGATCCTCACAACACCAAGCTGCACAAGATGGGAAGTAATATCTTCATTTTAGAGATAAAGGACACCAAGAAGTTAAAATGTCTTAAGACCATCTTGCTAATAAGTAGTGGGTAAAAGCCAAACCCACATCTCTGGATCTTGTCCTCTACTATACTTATCAACTGGGAATACTTTCACATGACCCTAGCACTTGCTGGGGAAATACTTGTTTTCTTCTATAAAAGTACAGCTTTTATATATTAAAAGTTTTCCTTTTACTTAAACTGCTTTTGAGACAGGTTGTTCCAATGATCGAATTTGTCTTCTGAAGGATAAAACTGCAGAGAGTAAGTTTCCTAGTCATCTTATAAAATGTGAATAGCCAGTATGGAGATATTCATCAAAATGTTAATAGTAGTTATCTCTAAGAGGAGGGATTTCAGATAACTTTAGTTTTCTTCTGTTCAAAATGAAACACTTCATCCTTTCTATGTGATCCAGACTTAAAACCATTTTTGCATCCCCCACTGTGTTGTACATAGTAGGTGTTCAGTAGCAGGTGCTGAACAAACCACTATTTCCTAAACTTCTGCCACACCTGTGTATTCTCTGTGTGATTATTTAATATCTTTTAAAAAATCAATTCACTTTTTAAAACTTAACCTTATCCTAAATGACAATTTTCATGAAATCATGATAAGCTAGTTTTATCTTTTTCCTAATATACATTAATACACATATAGCCATTCAAATTTCAAATACTGATATACTACCTAAAATCACCTCACCTGTGGTACATGCACTGGCGTTCTGCGTCAATCTTTGATTTCCTCCTTTACTCCCCATAATAGCAATCACCCAAGTACTTTAAATCCATCTTTTATTATGACTCCACACTTATTCTCACCTCTCACTCTAGTGTAGGCCCTTATTTCATGCTTATCTTGGTTATCTTGATGCAATAGGCCCCTAGAAGTCCCCCTTGCCTCTAATCTTTGCTCTATCATATATGTTGCCACCAAATTTTAAACTTCCTAAAACAAGCTTTGGCCTCTACCCAAATCAATCCAAACTTTCCAGGCCACTGAAAACAACCACTCAATGTCTTCAGGAAGAAGTACTTTACAAACTCGTCCTGGCCTACCTTTCTATCCCCTTCTACAAGAATCCGTTTATTCATTAGTCTCAGAATAGCCATTGTGTAGTTGTCTTTATAGCTTTATTCATTCCGTATCTTCAACCTGAAAAGCTCCATCCCCAAGTCAAAATTTTGCCTAGTTCAGATATCCTCTCTTTTAAGAAACCTGTCTGACCATTAGCATCTGCATTAATTTCTTAATTTCTAAAAGCCACACTATTTCAGCCACTCACTTACCACCCTCTGCCTTAAACTATGAGCTATTTGTATACATATCTACTCTCCTCTACTACAGGTTCTCTAGGGTAGGACTATGTAACTTATACATAGATGCTAAAATATTTGCAGCTACTCTTCAAGAAGCCAACAAAATAACTCAAACTCCATTCAACGTGGTTCAAAAGACTAATCTTTTCTAAGATTTAAGCCAAAGAATACTGTTCTCACAGATACTAAAGGTCAGTTATTTCATTACTGAAATCAGCAGACCACTATCTAACACCCAGGTTTGGCTATAAAGTAATCCACCCTGCATGTGGATACCTCTTCAGCAGGTTGACTTGCTGAACTTGTATGATTCCCCACTGTTGTCACCTGGTTACTCTTTTTGGACTTCAGTTTTCCTGTCTATAAGATGACCTTAAGAGCTCTTCCTAGCTTAAAATCCTATGACTCTTGGTCAGACCAAAATGACTTTTATTACAATATCTGGACAGGATAAACCCACTTGTTTCCCTTTTTTTTTTGGCCCCACCATGCGGCATGTGGGGTCTTAGCTCCCCAACCAGGGATTGAACCCATGCACCCTGCATTTGGAGCGTGGAGTCTTAACCACTGGACCGCCGGGGAAATCTGATAAACCCACTTAAAAATAAATATAATCAAAGGAGTTAACCTTCACCCAATACTGTTTAACCCCTTCACAGAATTTTGTTCCATCTACATATTTATAACAGGCTAGGCACTCTATTAGACCATCTCTTTAGAGTCAAAAGAGATGCTCAGTGATAAAAGTTATTTTCTGGTACTTAAAGTACACAGAGTACAAGGTTATTCACATATATTATTTCATTTAATCTTAACAACCCTAAAAGGTAGGCATCTTTATCCCAGTGTTTTTCAACTAGGAGTGATCTTGCCCCCTCCTTCCAGCACCCCCCAACCCTGCGGACATCTGGCAATGTCCAGTGACATTTTTCATTGTCACAGTTGTTGGGAAAGGAGGGATTGATACTGGCATCTAAAGGGAGAGGCCAGAGATGCTGCTCAACATTTTATGATGCACAAGATAGCCTCCCATGATGAAAAATTGCCCGGTCCAAGATGTCAATAGTGCCAAGATGAGAAACCCTGATGGCATTGTCTTTCAGTTAAGAAATCAAAGATTTAGAGAGCTTAAGTTACTTGCCCAGAGTTACACAGATCCCAAATCATCTCTGAATGACACCAAAGCCAATGGCACATTCCATCACACACACAACTACTGGAGACTGTTTCTGATGAAATATGTACTGTTTTCTTATCAGTGTTTCCCCTCCCCATTTAGTCTTGGTATACTTTAGATTTTGCTAGTCAGCATTAGCTGACCTCATCCAGGAGAAGATTCAGAAAAAGCTTTCTCAGACTAAAAGGTCAGATTTAACAAACGTCTTCTCTTGTGCTCTCACTGCTTCCAGTATTTACAGCTTCAATGCAGCAACTACCATATTGTACTGTGCTTGTATGACTTTCTCCCCTTTAGACTATAAACTCCTTAAGGGCAAGGTTTGCCTCTTTATTTTTGTATTCCTAGTGCCAAGGAAAGTATCTCAGCACAGAGTTTACATTTCATAAATATTTGTTAAACAAACAAAAGAAAACTGACCAAGTTACATAGTATACCCAAGAATGCACAGCTACTAAATGACAGAACCAGGATTCAAATTCAAGTCTCTCCACTGCCAAAGCCTAAAGTTACTATATCTCAATGAAGCTAAAAATGAGATGTTTATCACCTTTTTATCTTGCCTGTGGGAATTCTTCAATCATAAACATGTCAGGAATTATATATAAAGTCCGTGTTTTAAAGACAGCTTATAATCATAAGAATTTTCCTACCTTATACTTGTGTACATTCTGTGAAAGCTTGCAAGGTAGTTAGCATGTAACGATAGTGATAATCTCTCCCAAATACCACAGTTATAAAGGGGCCAGTGTGTTTTTATTTGATAGTCTCCCTGAATTCAACACTCACTACATAGAAATTAATGTTATTTTGAGTTGTCACAGGAACTGTTCATAAAAACTAAGCCAGGGTCTCTTAGGAAGAGAAGAACTCACTTTAACTTCAGCTTTTATTTCTTCACTGTCCCCTTCTCCATCATTGCAGGGTTCCATGCCAGACTCCTCCTGGATGTCTTTGTTTAGTACAGAATACTCTTCTAGTAGAGTGTCAAACAAAACTATTCGCTTGTTCTTGAAGAAGCCATAAAAATAAGCATTGCTGTGGGAAGAGCGTTTAGATCCTAAGGAAAAGACAGTTCAAAGCATGGAAAATAATTAAAAAGTATGGGGTTTTTTGGAGAGACGCCTAGAAACTGAATTACTGGAAAGGACATTAACATTTTCAAATTGTTTAACACCTGAAGAATATTATATCAACATAAATCACCACCAGCAGTGGAAAGTGCCTGTTTCTTTGCAGTCTTGACAACAAATATTTATGCTCATTGCAGCTTTATAGCAATAAGTAAATAAATAAAGCCTAAATATCCAACAGTCATGGAATGATTAAATTATGGTAAAGCTATGAAATGGAATTTTAAGCAGCCAGATAAAAAGTATACTTTTGAAATATTTTAACAAGATAGGAAAAAGCTCACCAACATAACTGAAAAGGATGTAAAACTTCATGTATATAAAATTCCATTATTGTCATGAAAAAATGTACATGTAAATAGAAAAGCAGAAACACAAACCTATTAAGAAATACATTAAAATATTGAAGTGTTTATCACTGGCTTCTAGAAATACGGATTTTTGTTCCCTCCCTTACACTTTGCTCTGTTCCAAGGCTTTTAAAGTCAGTATACTTATTTAATCAGAAAAAATTAAAACTATCTTAAAAAGACTGAAAAAAAAAACCCCTAAATTTTTAACAGTGGCTAACAGTAGCTGAACTATGGTTGATTTTTATCTTCTTCTTCATAATTTTCTTTATTTTCTATACTTTATTTTCTTTATATTTTATGTTCTAGCATGTGCAGTGAATTTAGTGGTTAAGAATGACTTTAGGTTCAAATCTTGGCTCTGCCATGTATTAGTTGTGTAAATGTAAGAAACTTTCTTAATTTCTTTAAGCTTTATTTTCCCATTTATGATATGAGGAGAGGACTTTTTTGGTTTGGTTGCCTGGAAGTTAAGAGCCAAATATGTGGTCCAATTTTATCAATAATATAGGACCTTAGGATCTGGAAAGCTGGGTATCTAGATCTTATACTTCTATCTCATTTCTATCTTCTCTGATTCTAATTTTTAAATTAATTTAAAAATATTTCTTAGAAGCTACCTGAAGTTACCTATGGAAGTAGGCAGATAAATAAAACAAAATGAATGTCTTAGTATCTCCCACTGGTCTAAGTATCTCAAAGTGTGGCCCAAAGAATGCCTACACCAAAATCACCTACGGGTACTTGTTAGACGTAAATACTAGAAACACCCAATATCTGAGAATGGAGCCGAGGAATCTTTAAACAAACTCTCCAGGGAATTCTTATATTCACTAAAGTTTTAAGAGTCCCTGCACTAGACCATAAGCTTTTTGTATCACTATACCTTGCATGTAGTATTTATTCAATAATGCTTGTTTATTGAATGGATTTATCGTACCACTTGAGGTATGAAGTAATGTATTTGGGAACTCTGAAAACCAAAACGTTCTATGAGATTGTAAGGCATGGCCAGCTGTCTCTTCATCTTTCGTTTGTGATGTCTTATCTTAATCAACTTCTTGGCAGCATTTGATACCGTTGACCACTCCCTCCTTGAAACACTTTCTTCTCCTATCTCAAGAGAAACAAACACCATCTTCTCCTGGTTTTCTTCCTACCTCAGTGGTCTCTCTTCTTCAGCCTCCTTTGCTGGCTCTTCCTCCTCTGCTGACTCTGACCTGAGCCCCGTTCTCTTCTCTAAGTGCCCTCATCCAAGGAGGTATCTACATGCCAGATACAGGTACTTCCATATCACTATTTCTAGACCTGACCTCTCCCTAGAACTCTGGATTTATATATCTAGCTGCTTATTTGACAGGCCTACATCTCCACATGGATGGCTAAAGTGCCTATCTGTTGTTTATATTCTCAAGCATAGTTTTTTCCCTGACCAGTATTAGAATTCCCTTGCAGAGTTTAGGGAATTTCACATCATGCAAGTCTTGTGAGAGACTGCTTCTCATTTGAGAAATCTAAAAAGCTAGCTATCTGCTTCCCCAAGCACTCCTGGCAGCTAGCCCAGTGCCCTGGCTCAGTCAGTCAGATGCACCCACTGGGGACTCTGAAACAGTTAGCTAATTACATAAAGAAGCAGGGCAGTGAGGAATGAATTCTGCAGGTGCTAGTGGAAGGGATGTTAGGGATACACACTGCTGACTCCAACATCAGGAGCCACTAGCAGTGTCCTCCCCAGACTGGTTCTGCAGGATGATTCTGAGTTCCTGGTCTCCCGATGGAGAGTCCACTTCCCAAGTTTGGTAAATTTAACTTTCCTGGTGACTTTGTGAGTTATCAAATATTGTTTCAATAAGGAATTTCTCTGGTTAAATCAGCTATAGTTGGTTTCTATGGCTGGCATGCAACTAACTACTGCTTGTAGAACTCTAGTACAATGTTCAATAGGTATATAACACACCCATCAGAACTTAAACCCTCACAGACCTGCTCTTCTCCCAGTTTTTTCACATCTCAGTAACCTACCATTTATCCAACTGCTTAGTCCAAAAATCTAGGTCGTTATCTTTGATGTCTCTTTCTCTCTTATTCCTTTACATGTCATCTACTGGCAAATTCCATCAACTCTACCTCTAAAACACATCCCCAGTATATCCACTTCTCTCCATCAATTACTACTATTCTAGTCTAAGCCACATTATCTCCTCCTGAACAGCACTGGCCTCCTAACTGCTCTCCCTGCTTCTACTCTTGCCTCCCCTACCGTCTATTCTCTATATAGCAACATAAAATAGGTAGAAATTACAAACTAGGCCATGTCACTTTCCTGCCTAAAACCTTCAATAGCTTTAACCCTAGACCTAAAATAAAATCCAAGCTCCTTACTCTGATTTACAAAGGCCTATGTGGTCTGACTCTCGCCTATGTCTCAGATTTCATGTCATAACACTTTCCTGCCATGAGGTAGCCACACTGGACTTCTTTCTGTTTCTTGAAGATACAAAGCTCTGGAGGGTCTCTCCATTGATCTTGGCACGGATGGCTCCTTCCTTCAGATCTCAGCTTAAATTCATTTGCTCAGAGATGTCTTGTCTGATGACCTAATCGAAAGTATCTACTCAGCCATTCTTTATCACTTCACATCAGTTTAATTCTCTGCACAGTACTTACTATCTGATATTTTCTGAGAGCAAGACTCTTGGTTTTTCACTCGGTTTTTCCTTTCAATTTACAAATCCATCATGTGTGTTGTTATTGTTATTAACAACATTCATTTACTCAAAATATTTTTGACAACATTATTAACAACAACAGAAACATGCATTGCAGATGAGTAACTTCTGTTTAGCAGAGGTAAGTTGTCCAAAGTCACACGGGGAATCTGTGCTAGAACTAGAATTTAAACGCAAACCTATTGGCTCCACAGCCTGACCTCTGAAATGCTACCCTCCACCTACTCAAATCTGGATTTTCCACAAAGTCCCAGCTTATGTTATAACCCTCCATAAAGCCTTCCCTATTTCAGCTAAAATCATATAGCACTGATGGTATAGATCACATATCTTCTCGACTACCTCTACTGTCATAACATTAACGTTATCTGATTATAAGTGATCGGCAACTTAGGTTGCCCCTTCAGTAAAAGCGCCTCAGAGATTCTTCTACTATACTGATCATTGTGCTACTAGTTTAATATTATTAAAAGACTAGTAATCTCAGAGGCCAAAGCAGTAGTATGAATTGGCTTCTTTTTCTACTATTTCCCCATAGACATGTTCTAATTGTGCCTTTAGTTGGCTGCCAAATGCCTGAGATTTCTATACTCTTCTCGTTGCTGTTAATTCATTCTTTCCAGTTGTGACCATCTCTGTCCTCCTGGACCCTGCAATTACTTCTCAGTTTCTACTCCTTCATCCGCCATAGCTACTTCTCAATGGTGATTTTTACTTTAGAAGAGGAATGGGCAAACTGTGGCTTGCAGGTCAAATCAAACCTGCCACTTATTTTTATAAATAAAGTTTTATTAGAAAACAGCCATGCTTGTTTCTTTATGTATTACTATGGCTGCTTTTGTACTATCATGGCAGAGTTGAATAGTTGCAACAGAGACCATGTGACCTGCAAAGCCTAAAATAATTACCGTCTAGCCCTTTACAGAAAGCATTTGCCAGACCACAGTTCAGAGGAATCAAAACTGAAACCCAGAGATGCAAAGTGACTTGTCCAAGATCCCACAGCTGGTAAGTGGCAGAGGCAGAACTACACTCATTCATTTACATGGATTTTAATTTACAGATTCTGAAAGTCATGGTACCACACAGTTTTTCTTTGCATCTTTGTAGGTTTCCTTGAGACTTTAGTAGTCTTACACAAGCTAACAGATAGATAGCTTAATTTTCAAAAGCAATCATCAGAAAAGCAGAGTATAACTAATCCAAAATACCAAGTGGCACCAATCTTGGGTAATCTGCAGGTGAAATCAGAGTCCTGCAGAACACTGGAAGTTTTCTTGGTGGAGACAAAGCCAATAACATTGGTTTTGTTTTTGAGCCCCCAAACCACTGCCAAAGAGTCCAACTCAGTTACATATAGGAGCCAGGCAGGTAATAGAAGTGAAAAAATCAGTCTAATATTATGACATAGCAGGGAGTGATAAAGGCCTTGGTGCAGAATTAAAAACAATAAAACCAACCAAACATAGCTGCAGGCAAGAGCAGGACTTGGCATCAGGCCACCAGTTTCTATCCCTGGACTATGTCAGCAATTCTTATAAATCTTCAAAAGCCAAAATGTAAAATCCTAATCTTTAAATAACAAAAACAAACAAACAAAACACCAAACCAACTGATTTGTTCTTTTATTAAAGTTTTAAGAATAAACTAATCAAATAAATCACTCAAATAAAATCTTCTTACCCCGGGGAGCCTTACCTTGAACAACATACACCTTAGTCAAAGGGAAGTCAATACTCTTTGCCATGATTTCAATTTCTTGTTTAAGCTTTCCCTCAGGAAGAGGTGTGAATTTGTCAAATAAAGGGGCAATGTAATCAGCATAGATGGTGACAAGCACCTGAAACGCAAATATGAGAACAACCTATGAATATGTCCTTAAAGAGAAACTACTCACTATACAGATTCAATATTAAAACTATGTGATCCCAGCCCTGAGAACAGGGACCTTATCTTATTTGCTCTGGTATTCCCAGCCCGAAATAGTACCAGTACAGCATTCAATATCTGTTTGATGAATTAAATCAAAATGAATAGTCTCTATATGGTAATAACTGAAAAGCCAAATGGTCCATTCAAAACTATCTTGGGGATTTCTGACACTTCATGAGCCCATCATAACTTGGAATTCTGTCTTTCAAGGTAATCATAATAGACTTGAAGTGTTTGCTAAAAAAAGAACTACTAGAGCTTGACTGTGTGCTATTATTTGGTTTGCCTGCTAATATTACTGACCTGCAGTTCATAACTATACACACTGGTTGAAACAGTACTTCCTTAAGCATTTTGGGAGCATTTCCTCTGCTCTCTCTCCTGTCACTTCAATTTGCCATACAACATATATTTGTAAGTCCAATTAGCACCCATTTTCCAGTCATGATCCCCAGCAAGAGGTGAAGCAATAAGCATCATGGTAATTCAGACTAAAAGAAACCTCACCATCAGTGCAGCTGAAGAGCTGATAGGACGTATTTTCTGGGGGCTGTTAACAGGCCATTTTGATTGTGTTGTAGTGTTTGTGCTGTGAAGCAGTTTGGAATATCGGAAAGAGAAGAGGAAAAGAAGATGTGAAGAAGGGACAATGGGGAAGCGGAGAGAGGAAAAAGGAGGGAGAAGGAAGAGAGGGAAGAAGGGGGGGCTGTGGGGGGAAAAGGGAAGAGGCAGGGTGAGGGGGAGGGGCAGGAGGAGGGGGCAAGGGACAGAGAAGAAGGGGTAAAGGGCAAAGGGGAGAGGAGGAAGGGAAAGGCAGGGGAAGGAGGGCAGGAGAAAGCAGACACGTTTATGCTTTCTTTTTCTTATCCCGCTTACATCTATTCTCTCTCCAAAATATCCATGGTTTTTAGACACTGGAGCTCAGTCAAGAGTCATCAAATTGTCAAACTTAGTCATCATTCTGGTGGCAACTCACAAATGCACAGCCCCAAACTGCTTGACAACTGCATCATTAAAGGTAACTAACAACTAGCTTCTAGAATCTATAAGAGCCAGTATAAGGAGAAGAAAATCTATGGTCAGAGTCAACTCTCCCATTTCTATAGCTAAAAGCAGAAAACAGAAGGGGAATTTATATGAGCACCTATTTATATTTCTTCTGCTTCTTAAGAATCATTTAAATGCTAAGGAAGATTAAATGACAGTTATCTCACCAAGGAACATTTTGTAAAAGAAAATCGAAACAAAGATTTCGCTTACCAGAGACACAACTAGTGTGAACAGCCAGGCATAAATAAAAAAATAGTCTCCCCCAATTTTAATAATGTAAAGTAGAAGTGAAGACACAGGTAATAAAATGCACTGAGTCACAATAAACTTCTTGATTGCATCTTTCATGAAGAACCCCAAAGTCTGAAAAAATAAAAGGTCATCATGAGAAACTAAGAAACTGCTTTTAAAATAACAAATAAGTGAATAGAAAGGATACATTATTAAAGCAATTTTAAAAATTAAAAGGCAGTGAGACTACATGACAACAGGTAGCCTAAGACAATAAGTCAATGTCTTGCATTTTATAGTTTAAAATAAACTCATTTAAATGTTATTAGCTGAAAAAACACTAGACATTAGTGCTAGAAGAGTTTATGGCAAGACCTTAAACTATGATCTTTACCGTATCTTCAGTTCCTTTTCCCTCGATTAATTCATGCTCTAAAATAGCAAATTACGTTTTAATTATTCCCAGCAGAGGACAAAAGCACAAGAGAGAACATTTGCATTCTCTATTTTACCTGCTGATTGAAACCATGTTTTTCTTCTATCACAAAAGTATTATAAAGACTCCACGGCAAACCAGTCAATGCACTGAAAAGTGTAGCCAACAGCAGAAACACCAAGGACTGAGTGATCTAAACACAAGAAAAAAAGAGGCAGTTTTTTAATATTAATTCATTCTTCAAATGAAATATTAGGGAACCAATCAACGAGTATTTGCTGAGTACTTACTATAACTCAAGCAATGTGCTTGATTCTACGGGCCTGAAACATCACTGCTACCCTCAGAGTTTATTTGCAAGACAGGGAGGCACTAAAACACTTCCTTTTATTACACGGGCACCATATGAAAGTTAATTGAAGTCATAGAGACAAAAAGGTTAAAAGAACTTAAATTCAGCCACATATGCTGGTGAATTCAAGAAAGGCTTACAACACTGATGAGAAATGGAATGCTACTCTGAAGAAAGAGATAAATTAGTGGGACAGAAGAGGCAAGGAGGAGTTCCACACAATTTGCAAAAGCAAGGAGAAAGAAAAGAGCACCTTAAAAGTGAAAGATGACAAGATGATGGGCCTAGTTGGGACCAGGCAGAGAAACATAATGGAGCATCAGGAAAGCTGGGCCAGGGCAGGTGGGGCAGAGTGTGCTAAAGTGTTAACAGAGCCAAAACTCAAGAGAGAAAATAACCCTCTAGAACTCCTTTAATTGCCTTAACAACAGGTCCTTAGGAGATCAAAAGCCAAGAACTGCCTCATTTTTCTTTACAAATATCTTTTCCTATGACAGTGGAGGATGAGGGCTAATTGGTATGAAGGGACTTGGGGGGAGGGGAAGGCAATGAAGCAAATAAAACCCTCGCTCTCCCTCCCACCACACCATCACTCTCCCTCTTACTCCCCAGTGTAAAACTGAATTCTTTTAAGTGTGAGTACACCACCAAAGCATATTTGACTTGGTAGTAAAGATGCAGCCACTATGTTTCTAAACATAGGAAGAGGGAGAAGGGAAGAGGAAAAGAGGAGGTTTGTCTGGCTACAACATGCAGGGTGGTTTATGCCAGCATCTGTCCCCAAATGGGAAATGAGAAATTTTTTAAAAGTAGATTCCAGGACCTTCCTCAAAATTACTGAATCGGAATTCCATCTTCAAAAAATACAACCATATTGTATAGATTGTTTGAATACCTGCTTTACTCATTTAACATATCACAAACATCTTTCTATATCAATAAATATAGATCTACTTCATTGCTAACGGCTCCATTACATATATTTCCATTATGTATGTAGCATTCATTCCAATGCTACAATGAACCCGTTTCATTCATTCCCCATAAATTTGTAAAAGTGAAATGTCTGATGTCAGACTCTTTTTTTTTTTTTTTGCGGTACGCGTACCTCTCACTGCCGTGGCCTCTCCCGTTGCGGAGCACAGGCTCCGGACGCGCAGGCCCAGTGGCCATGGCTCACGGGCCCAGCCGCTCCGCGGCATGTGGGATCCTCCTGGACCGGGGCACGAAACCGTGTCCCCTGCATCAGCAGGTGGACTCCCAACCACCGCGCCACCAGGAAAGCCCTGGTGTCAAACTTTTAAAAGATTTTTTGATACAAACTGCCAAGGTGTCCTCTAGAAAAACTATACTAGTTTTCAGTCTGACAGCACCATGAGACTAGTTCCCTATCCCTCAACAATTCTGTCCTATGATTCTTTTAACTGTTTTTTACCCAATATGATATGATAGGTCAAAACAAAGAAAGAAGCACAACTCCTCGATTCTTCATTGTTGTATTAAAACACATTTCTTTGATTGTCAGTATGGATTTATATTTTTCATGTATTTTATGATCATACGAATTTCTTCCTTTGCCCATTTTTGTGTTGAGGTACTCAATTTTTTCTAAGGTGTTCTTTCGGGACTTCCCTGTTGGCATAATGGTTAAGAATCTGCCTGCCCATGCAGGGGACACAGGGTTGAGCCCCGGTCCGGGAGGATCCCACATGCCGCAGAGCAACTAAGCCCCTGCGCCACAACTACTGAGCCTGCGCTCTAAAGCCCGCAAGCCACAACTACTGAAGCCTGCGTGCCTAGAGGCTGTGCTCCACAGCAAAAAAGCCGCCACAATAAGAAGCCCGTGCACTGCGATGAAGAGTAGCCCCCGCTCACCGCAACTAGAGAAAGCCCGTGCACAGCAACGAAGACCCAACACAGCCTAACTAATTAATTAATTAATTAAAAACTCTAGATCATATTAAAATTTATAGTTTCTTCAGACTCACAGACTTAGAGAACGAACTTATGGTTACCAGGGGGAATGAAGTGGGGAAGGGATAGTCAGGGAGTTTGGGATTGACATGTACACACTGCTATATTTAAAATGGATAACCAGGACCTACTGTACAGCACAGGGAACTCTGCTCAGTGTTATGTGGCAGGCTGGATGGGAGTGGAATTTAGGGGAGAATGGATACATGCATATGTATGGCTGAGTCCCTTTTCTATGCACCTGAAACTATCCCAACATTGTTAATCGGCTATATTCCAATATCAAATAAAAAGTTAAAAAAAATTATATTTTTTTTTGGTTAAGTATTGTCAATGTATCTTTGTTTATATTTAAATACTCAATTCAACTAAGTCTTTCTTTTTCTTGGAGGATATAAAATTGGAATTTATTTTTTTCTCAGTTGTCCTAAGAAAATTTATAACCTATATATTCCTCACCAATCTGAAATGCCACCTTTATCATATACCAAGATTACATATACTTAGTTAGGCCTGTTTCTGGTACCAATACACTATTTAAAATTTATGATACATTTTAATATCTAAAAGTTACCACTCATTATTTTACTTATTCAGAATCTTTCTGGCTATTTCTCTGTCTTTAGTCTTTCAGATTAACTATAAAATGTTTTATCATGTGCCCTTCACAAGCTGCTCTGGGATTATACCTGGGCTCTATTCTTTTTTTTTTTTGGCTGCATCGGGTCTTAGTTGTGGCACGCAGGCTCTTCGTTGAGGCATGAGGGCTTCTTTCTAGTTGTGGTGTGCAGGCTTCTCTGTAGTTGTGGCGTGTGGGTTTTCTCTCTCTAGTTGTGGCACAGGCTCCAGAGCACGTGGGCTCTGTAGTCTATGGCACGCAGGCTCTCTAGTTGAGGTGCGGGGGCTCAGTAGTTGTGGCGCCCGGGCTTAGTTGCCCTGCAGGATGTGGGATCTTAGTTCCCCGACCAGGGATTGAACTTGCATCGCCTGCATTGGAAGGTGGATTCTCTACCACTGGACCACCAGGGAAGTCCCTCTACTCTTTTTTTTAAAGTTTATACATCTCTTCTTTAATAATTCACTGAAGAATTGTGATAAGGCACTGATTATCAAGTTTAGCATTCTGCACAGAATGTACCATTTTCTCCTTTTGAAAGTCTAGATTTTGCTCACCTGTAGTCTTCTGAAACATTCTCCATTCTCCCTAGTTTATCAACATATGCCATAAGTTCAAGTTCCTTCTGCACACTAACATATAAATCATCTACGTATGGAGCCTTGAATTAATTTAAGATAACTTGACTTCTTCTTAATCTCACTTATCTTATGCATAAATACCATTTAAAATGAATAATTCTATCAATAAACCATTTTTCTTCTTAAAGAAGATGAACAGTAAGTCTAATTCCCCAATCAGTAGGCTTATTCCCTCCTTAAAACACTAAGATTCCAAGAGCATTGTAAATTATTTTGCCTTAAACAGTAAAACAGCCTCTTAAATGGTCCCCCTGCCTAATATCAATCCCTCCCCTTTCGATCCATCCTACATACACACCAGATGAATCTAAAACTCCACTTCTCAACTTTAAAAGCTCGTAATGGCACTATAACAGGGGTCCCCAACCCCGGGGCCACAGACCGGTACTGGTCTGTGGCCTGTTAGGAACCAGACCACACAGCAGGAGGTGAGCAGTGGGGGAGCGAGCGAAGCTTCATCTGTATTTACAGCCGCTCCCCATTGCTCGCATTACTGCCTGAGCTCCGCCTCCTGTTCAGATCAGCTGCAGCACTAGATTCCCAGAGCAGCGAACCCTACTGTGAACTACGCATGTGAGGGCTCTAGGTTGTGCACTCCTTATGAGAATCTAATGCCTGATAATCTGAGGTGGAGCTGAGGCAGTGATGCTAGCAGTGGAGAACAATGGCAAATATAGATTATCATTAGCAGAGAGGTTTGACTGCACAGAGACCATGATAAATCAATTGCTTGCAGACTCATATCAAAACCCTATCAGTGAGTGGCAAGCAACAATTAAGCATCTGGTGGCAGGCTTTATTGTGGCAAGTGAGTTGATGTACATCAATTGTACAGCTGCATCTAGTGGCAGGCTTTAAGTCAGAATCCGACACGTTTTAGTCTGCGCGTGGCCCGCCCATTAATTTATCTACTTCCATCCATGCCTCTTTCCCACACTGCACACTTGTCTCAGCCACCGTTTTGGTAAGCCCACAAGCTAATCCTAGCCAGGATGAGTAAAAAAACAAACGTCACTGGAGAGCTTCTTTGGAAAGGGGGAAAGACCCAGTGATGAGACAGCAGAAGACTCTAAGACTGCCAACAAAAAGAAAGCAACATTTAAAAGAAAATACCAAGAGTCCTACTTAAATTACGGGTTCATTGCAACAGGGGATTCACATTCTCCAAGCCCGCTTTATATAATATGTGGCCACCGGCTATCCAATGAAGCCATGAAACCTTCAAAACTGCTTCGCCACATGGAGACCAAGCACCTGCATTGAAAGACAAGCCTTTGGAGTTTTTCAAAGGAAAAAAACCATGAACACGAAGAACAGAAGCAATTATGAAGGCCACCACTTCATCAAATGTGTCTGCACTGAGAGCATCATTCTCAGCATGGCTAAAGCTAAGAAGCCCTTCACTACTGGTGAAGAGTTGATCCTGCCTGCTGCTGAGGACATCTGTCATGAACTTTTAGGAGAGACTGCAGTTCAAAAGGTGGCACGTGTTCCTCTGTCATCTAGCACCATAACTAGACGAATTGATGAAATAGCAGAGGATATTGAGGCACAGTTGTTAGAGAGGATTAATGAGTCACCACGGTATGCAATCCAGGTTGATGAGTCTA